CCCGCCACAGGCTCACCAGAGAGTTTTCCCTTCAGTTTCATTCAGGGAAAGATAGACAAACAGTTTTGAGTGCTTACATTACTCAAGATCGTGTTGAGGCCAGCGACCAGTGAGTAGCCGAACAGGGGGCTAGAGGAACTTAATGTTGGACAGTAGGGGAGGGTTTGAATAAAATGGTGTTGGTCAAGAAGAGACGAGAGTGAGAAAAAGGAAGTGAAGGGAAGGGAGGGAGGGTGCGGGAGGAGAGAAGGGAAAATCAAAGGAGCAACCTGGGAAGCGTGGAGTTAAATGATAAAGCCGAATTGAGGACGAATGTGAAATCTGAGGAAGGAAGCAGATCAACAAACGACTTACGCGATCTGCTGTGAAGGGTGGGTAGATGAAATAGAAGATGCAGGTCTTCTCGGCCTGTCGCATAATCTCTTTGAGGAAGAGCCGCTGACGCATGTGCAGAGAGGAGGCCATCAGGAAGTGGATCAGAGTCACGAATTCGGGACGACCATGATGCACAAAGTAGACGTAGTCTTCAAGATTGTAGTGGGCCTTTATCCACTCGATACTCTATGGTACAGGATAAGAACAACAGAGGAGTAAATATCATTTTCTCAGGTCATAATGCCCACGTCGTAAAAATCAAAGTACTCCAACATCACTAAAAAGCATTACGATTATAAGCGTCTTTTTGGTTTATTCAGCGTAAACTAGCGGTCAAAAAATGCCTAAATCAATTTATAACTTTAAACGCCTTTTAATTCAAGCGTATCTTTGGGTATCGATAAGATTTGTTCATCCAGTTCTATTTACGGTTCCCTTATTGGGACCGGTTATAGTCAAACTTCCCCATTGCACCTTTCTGGAGTTTTATTTATTCACGATAGAACTTTTAAACTGGACTAAAGTGGCAACATTTGGCTCTACCTTCGTGCTCTACATTCTAGTGAAACTGATAGTTCTCCTTATTTGCCTGTAAACGTCACGGAACCACCTTATTAACATGACATAAAGTTACCAAAACAAGTGAAAATGCGGATCTCAGAGAGTAAGTGAGTAATTGCAATATTTGATCCTGCGATTGCGGCAACTTTTTCTCAGTGAATTAAAATTGTTGGTCACCTTC